GGCCTCACCAGCCCGCAGTTGATGGAGATGCCCTCCCTGGCCCTCTCGCCCGTGGCCCCCGTGCGCTTCAGCCGCTCGGACCCCGCCAGGTCCACGAAGTGGAACTTGGCCGTGAGAGTCTCAAACTCGTTCGTCCGCGGCGACTCCGCCATCTCCCCGCTGTCGGCCGGGACCTCCTGCCGTGGAGGACGGGATGGGACGCGCGCACCGCACGCCCGCGGCGGGAGGAGGCTGCAGGCCCAGCATCAAGCCCACATGGGCCAGTGGCCCGCGACTCCGCGCCGGCGAGCCCAGGGACTCAGAAAGATGCCAGAGGCCACCAACCCACCATGTCCCGGGCAGCCCCGTGGGCGGCTGGCCGACAGGAGCTGCAGGTGACCGGCAGCCCGCGGGCGCGCGGTGGGGGGCACTCACCCCGTCGGCCGGCGGGCACAGCCGGGTCTGGCACAGGTGGACGGTGAAGATGGCGTGGGAGCGCGAGCTCTGCACGTTCATCTGGGTGCTGGCCGTGGTGCGCGACAGGGCGCCCAGCTTCAGGCACTGCATCATCTGCGGGGCGGCCGCGCTCCAGCAGGGGACCCCGCTGCTCGCCCACTCGGGGGACCCCTCCCAAGCCTTGCAGCGGACGCCAGGAAGGAGCCTGCTGCCAGGACCCCGGCCCCAGTCGTGCGCTGGGTGACCTCCTCCAGCCCTGGGCAGCAGGGGTCCTGGGCCCTGCGGCCGCAGCCTCCCCCACCTGCCAGCGCCCCCCCCTCCAGTCCAACCCTCCAGAGGGAGCGCTGGCCTGAGCACACCCCCAGGAAACAGTAAATCCGGGGCCTCTGTGGGGCCTGGGGGTCAGTCACCACGGTCTGACTCGGACCCAGCCAGGGAGGGACCCCCGGGGGCGCAGCAGACCCCTCCTGTCTCCCCCCTGCCCTCTCAGCAGTGGGTCTCAGGGGATCCCCTGCTTTACTGCCCCCTGTCTCACCATCCACACCTCTGGCCTGCACCCCAGTTCTTTTACGCAAAAGTAAAGGAAACAACAGTAACGAAGTGCGTGCCACACAGCTCCTGGCCCGCCCGGGCACAGCCCCGCGTGCGGGCAGCGGCGTCACCTCCGACTCGGTGTCCACGGTGCGCGTGGTGACGCCCACGGTGTAGATGCCCCCGGCCGCGTCCTCGTGAATGCGGATGTTGGACTTCTTGTTCTTGGCGTCCAGGTCGCGCGTGGTGTCAAACAGGTCGAGGACCTCCTCATTGTACAGCTGCGGGGGGCCACAGTGACCAGCGGCCGCGTCCACAGTGCGCCCCGTGCTGCCCAACGCAGGAGCTGCAGGCCGGGGCAGGGGGCGGGCGGCGGGGAAGGCACAGCAGGCGCGGGGCGGGAATCGAACTCATGCGTAAGTGGCTTCAGATTCTCAGTGCTGTGCTTTAACCCGCTGCGCCACCAGGGAGGGCCTGTCTTCTCTTTTTAAATGAGACAAACTGATATAACTTATTTCAAACATTTTTACAAAGTGGGCTTTTATTATCCTTTTACACTGTGTTCTTATTTTGTTAGTGATCATTAAAGAAAATATAATGGGGAAGGGAAAAGACAAAGAACATCTATCCCTCCTCTACGATTACTTTT